TGTTTGGCCTTCCATCTTCTTCATCTCTTGTGATTGGGCCTCGCTCCACTACTGGCCAAATGAGCAAAATGAGAATGAATCCTCCGCTATAACATGGAATGATACACTGCCATAATTTTTTATCTTCTGTGGATGTGGTGAGTAGTGGAGCAAGGCCCATTCAACTCAAACCATGTCTGAGAGATTAAGCTACATAACCGATAATACCAAATCCAGGAAGAATCTCTCTCTCTCTCTCTCTCTCTCTCTCTCTCTCTCTCTCTCTCTCTCTCTCTCTCTCTCTCTCGTCAAACAGAGTTGTCCGTATATATATGTGACGATATATATATATTATATATCGTCACAAACAGAACTGCCCAATAAACCGTAGGCAGAGAGAGAGAAGAGGACAACAAACAAGGGGCTGTGACAAACTGTTTCGTCGGAGTTTCACCGACTCATCAGAAGGCTGAACCCTCAACAGTCTGCAGAATCCCCTCACTGATTACACTGTAAATGATAATCTACCTTAACCAAAATCAAAGTAGACTATCACTCACCCACACCTGATGGAAAACTCTACAGACTGTCGGTTCATATATATAGTCCAATCACAAAAGAGGTAACATCAGGACACAAGTCTGAGACAGCTTGGCTGTCTGGGGGCTACATGCTGAGAAAAGTAGAGAAAATAAGTTTAGGCCATTCATTGTATTTCTAAACTTCTAGACATCTACGTTTCTCAGCAGCTCTCAACCAACCAATTGTGGTGGACAGATTGAGTTTCGGTGTAGTGCTTCACATGCAGGCAAACACTCAGCGAGTCAGTTCATTCACGATGAACACACAAAGAGATTTCCACCTGCATTGTGGTGGACAGATTGAGTCTCGGTGTAGTGCTTCATCTACGTTTCTCAGCAGCTCTCAACCAACCAATTGTGTTGGCTGTATAGCATTAGGTGCCAAATACTTCTCGTCTTATTTGCTTGTTCAAATTCACGACAACAATGTTCAGGGACCCTGGACCCGATTTCCAGCAGGTGCTGCTCCCCACCAATAGACAGAGCTTTCCCGGAATCTGCAAAACTGCTAGCAGTGCCTGCTCTTATCAGCACCCCTAACACCAACTCGGGCAGTTAAACCAAAAAAAAAAAGAAAAAAAAGAAAACAGATATTCGAATTTCGAAGTCATGTCCCTGTCCGTAGAGGACTCTATAAGCTGAAGCTGGGTAATCCTCCCAGTACCCCATTTCCCAGGTAGGCTGTGAGGACCCCAGCCTCATCATCTCTCCTTCGCGTAGAAGGGCTTCTTTTTGAAAGACAAAACAAGAAAAACGAAAAACAAAAGAAAAATGGAGAGACAGAGAGAGGGAGAGAGAGAGTTTGAGAGAGAGAGAGTTTTACAAACAGGAAAAAAAGGGGAAAAACGAAGGTTGCTCCCGTTTCCCACTTCTCAACTACGTAGAAGGCCCGGTTCACAGTACGAGATCAAAGAGGTAAAAAACAAAGGAAGCTCGCGTTTCCCACTTCTCAGGGCTATGCAGAAGGCCCGGGGCACAGTCCCACAGATGACTGACCTATCAGTAGAGAAACGTTTTTCTTCCTTCTTTTGTGTGCAGCCGTTTTTTGTTTTTTTTTTAAATAAAGAAAGCATGTGGCAGGTATGGGAAGCAGCCCGCCATTGGCTGACAGGAAAAGAAAAAAAGTGTGGGAAAAAGATTCTAAACCACAAAAGCGGCAGTCAGAACACTAAGGCAGGGAGCTAAGGATTTCCCCATCACCCGTTGGATTGATCAATCACTGATAGAACTGCAATCTATTTGGCACTTTACCATTTTTCCTTTTTATTTGGAGGACCTACAAAAGAATCAAGGCACAGTGGACGCGGTTTACCGACTGACTACGTAGCAGTGTGTCCCCAGGCATGGACTGACAACCGCAGGACCAACAGGGCGTGTGCCTGTTAAACCTCCAGGCGAGGTACCCAGCGCCAACGACCGGTACCCCAAGAATAACGGGAAACAAACAAAAAAAAAAAGAAACGCAAAAGATAATGAAAAGAAATGCAAAAGATAATGAAAAGAAACGAGCAGAAGGAAAACGGACGCAGCAGGTTTAGGAATGATTTTGTATACCATGTTTGTATGGTGGCGTGATGTAATACGTGAATCCACTTACGAAGGATATCATACATCAGTGGTTCAAGTGGGACTTCGTTATGGTATGATTTTGTTCATTGTGTCAGAAGTAATGTTTTTTGTAGCTTTTTTTTGGGCTTTCTTTCATTCAAGTCTGGCGCCTACCGTAGAAATGGGAGAAGGGGAAGAGCGAGAGAGAAAGAGACTCTCTCTCTCTCTCTCTCTCTCTCTCTCTCTCTCTCTCTCTCTCTCTCTCTCTCTCTC